GAAGTTGTGTTACCAATGCTTACTGTTTATTTGATACCAATTTGGTAATGCAATTAATAAAAACAACAATGTTTGGGTTCGTTCTTCAGATGACTGTGACGTTAACGTGTAAGCTCAATAATGAACTCCAGCTCAACCAACCATATTGTAATATCTAAGTAATCATCTTGAAATATGACATTAATAATTGTAATATACACACATCTTATTGTGAGGTTGATTTCACATACACTACTTCGACGTTAGCTTGTCTACATACTTGAGCATAGCCAATTTAAATTAACCTTAGCGATGCATACAGTTCCTACCTACATAATAAAATATCTCTCTAAGTTACAAGGATGACCTTATTTTATCAACCTCAAACAGAAGCCTTTTGTTCTACAGTATTATCCCACTTAACGCTTAACACTTGTCTATTTCGTTTTAACCTTTATATATAGTCTATGATTTTAAGTTAACTTGGAGGCTAAGATTAGCATCGTTAGCACCGATGTAGCTACCACTCGCTTACACGCTAACCCAAGCCTTAACATTCATTACGTAGCTGATTGAAATCAAAAACACATAAATAAAGTACTTGAATTTCACTTACCGCAAAACGGCATTCATGCACCGTCTGTTTTAACCGCAGAGCGAGTCACAATAGTCCGATATATAAGCATGAAGAACAAACAAACACGGCCGGGGTCAAGTTGTGTTCCCTGGATGAACTGAGCAGGCAGAGTCCCTGTAGCTTCACGGAGACGGAGCAGCTAGCAGAGAGACAAGAAGCTAACAGCAGCAGTCACTTGACAGAGCTGTCACTCAATGTGACCACGCCCTAATTTATGCAAAAACTTTAAGACCTAATATAAATAAAAGGGTCATGTTAGAAAACAATTCACTCACAGATTCATAATCATGAAGGTGGAATCTAACTATATACATAATAATATTTATTGCATCCAGGGCTAGAAACGTTTTTTTTCTGCTGTGAAATTGGGCATTTTAACATGGGGGTCTATGGAAATTGCTCCTTTCTGCAGTCATCGCCTATCGGCCAATATATGAACTGCAGTTTGTGGCACTTCCGTATTGGCGTCCCGGCTCTTCCCCAGAGTTTGCCGCTTGGTTAAAACATGTTAAAACACAGGCAGTGAGTGGGTTGTAAGGAGCAGAAGATTGGGTCAGTGTTGGCAGAGCGTCTCTCCATCCCATTCAAATTCAAATTCTTGACTGAAAGAGCCTACAGTACATGTAAATGGATAGCATTGCCGATATGCATTTGAAAAGAATTAGTACCCCCCTCTGAGTGACTACGTGTTGAGTTCACATCACCATTCTCCCATATGCTACAAATGGCTGTCTAGCCCTGTTTGTTTTTTTGACCTTTCAGATGTTGTTGTATAGCCTCTGGAGCAGAAATGAAAGAGTTTTAAAAATGTTTACGTTTTGGTAAGTTTTTAGGGAAATGTTGTAATATTGCAACGTTGGCCTTAGGTGGGAGCAGAATTTCTGTATTTCTACTCACATTGTCTGAATAAATATATTGAACAACTAAGGGTTAATTTGCAGGATTGATTGCTTACTTAGCCCTATATCAGTATATAGCATTAATAATAATCACACATCACTCATATTTGTTATGAATAATCATTTATCATTTATTAAATAGTAAGTCGCTTTGGATAAAAGCGTCAGCTAAATGCAATTTATGAAAGCCTCACTTTTTTACCAAGTGTTTTTATTGCTCTGGGGCATTAAAAACAAGATTTTAACTTTAGTTTATATAATATCTGCATTTTCTCTTGTGAAAAACTAAGTCTTAGTTTGGCCATAGTTATTTAATATATAAAGACTATATATTATTGAATTACAAGATTAGATATACTTCATTTGATCTAAAATATTGATGTGTTCAAATGCTCTTCTAAACAAAACTGAAAGTCCATGAAAAGTTGTCTTCCTGTTTTTGTGAAGGAAGCGCCATCTCCTGGTTAAATCCTGAAATTGAAAATCTGGCAACGCCCTCTTGGAAAATAGTGGGAGGGCTTAACATTCCAAGATACTGGTCTTTGGCAGGTCTTAGGCAGGTAACTGGCAGGTAGTAGGCAGGAAGCAGTAAGCTGGAGTCTGAAATAAGATGCTCCATCTGTATGGATAAACGAAACCTAAATCATAGCGAACTCTATCTACAACTCTATATCTATCCAACACCCCTCCTCCCCCCACCCCCACAATAAATATCGACCAATCAGGTTCTTGCTTGATGTTGTGTTGCAACTTGCATATATATGTATTGCACTTGACGCACTCACACGCATGGCGTAATTTCCACCTGGGACAGGGGGAAATGTCCCTTGCTCTTTTCGAAATCCCGTTTGTGTCCCCCCACTTTACAAATATGTTTTTTTTTTGTTTTTTTAACGCAAGCCGTCATCGACACGGAGGAGCACACAGCCTCTGTGAGCAAGCGAGACAGAGAGAGAGAGACAGAGCTAGGGAGGGAGGGGAGAGAGAGAGAGAGAGAGGGGGAGAGAGAGAGAGCGAGCGAGAGAGAGAGAGAGAGAGAGAGGGAGGGAGAGAGAGAGAGAGAGAGAGAGAGAGAGAGGGGGAGAGAGAGAGAGCGAGAGAGAGAGAGAGAGAGAGAGAGAGCTAGGGAGAGCACACCTTTATCTATTTAATATAGATAAAGTAAGAAATCATTCCAATGTGTATAGGACAGTAAAAAAAACAAAAAACAGTTTGAAAGGGGAGTGATTAGTAAAATAAGCATAAATAAAATAAACTAACATAAGATAAGAATAAACCAGTTTAAATGATTTGTATTGGTTGTGATCATATTCTAAAGATTTTTGGATTATTGAAAAGTATACAGCTCTCTTTCATAGAGTGTTGTATCCATCAATTCATGTTGTGCTCAAAGTGCACCAGATTGATGCATTTCACTTCAACATTTAAAAATAATCTTCCCGGGGGAGCATGCCCCCGGACCCCCCTAGAGGAGGTGAGGACCCCCCTAGAGGAGGTGAGGCCCGTCCACCCCCAAATAAAGCAGGTTAAAATAATTAGATTGCATACATGTTCTTTTAGTAAACACTGAAAACGGGTCCCACAGACCCAAACAGCACACAAAGGTTAAAGGTCAGCATATCATCATCAAAAAACTAAAAAAAGAGGAGTAAAAGTAGCCCCCGACTTGTTTTATTTTTTTAAAGTAGCCCTCACCCTAAAAAAGGTTGGTGACCCCTGGTCTAGACCAATAAGTGGGGGGTGCTAAGAAAATAGCCGAGTTTCAGGACTTCAGTTTCTTTATAAGGAAGTTCTCGTTGTTTTCCATAGAATCCGATCTAGCACAAAGCATATATTAGAATTATATGCAGTTTTAACTGAGTTTTGCCAAAGAATATTCAACAAATTTAACAAACAAACATTTAGCATGATCCACCAAAAGAGATGCACTGTTATAACCATTGAATAAATGGGGCGAAGCCTGCGAGCTAGTTCAGGCAGTCAACTCGAGCACCAATGATACATTTACACGTAACGCTCCGCGTGCCTCTTACAACCAACCAAACACATTCTCCTAAACATGCCGCTCTATTTAAGCTGCCAGGTCTGCTGCCTCTGCCTCGCTATGCTGCTGCTGCCACTGCCCCCCCCACCACCCCAGCTTCCATCCCAGCATCCACCTGTAGGCTCGGGGGGATAGTTATCTAATCCTCACTCAATGTTCTGTGTACATCTGTGGAGTGATGAGGCCCGAGCCTAGGCGCCAAACTTAAACTCTATGCTGCTTCTAATAAACATATCAAAGAGAAACACGTGAGTTGTCTGACTGAAATAATGTTTAGAAACACAAACTGTTTTTTCAGCATCATAATACACAATGACATCCCCAAATAACAACACATCAACTGTTGATGGTCTAGTAAAATGGAGTTGAGCAGACTGTAGTACTATAATGGTCACTCACAACTGCACATTGATTTAAAAGATTATTGTTGATGACAAACTAACAACATCGGCGAGGGAGTCCTGATTCACAGAACATTCGTAACAAGGCTTCGACGGGGGCATTATTCAAAATTGCCCAACCCCTTAATTTCACATGAAATATTTATAATACATAAATAAATGACTCACCAGTGTTGTTTTAAAAAACGACGATGCGTCTGTTGTTGTGGTTCAGTGCAAACTTTGCGCTGTATGCTGGCAATGGGCATAGATGCATATCTGACAACGGTGGTACGACATAATAATGATACGTTCAAGTGTTTCTCTGAAAAATTCAATATTTGTGTATTACGGATTGAGGAGTTGTTCCGACTATAATTTTCATTAAATTTTGAGAGGTAGGCCAATGTGGAAACAACATAGATTGTACTTTTTTTTTCTTTTATTTGTTCAGAGAGTTTAAAAAACACATTGATTAGCCTACAGTATGTCACTTTTTTACCACTGTATATTCCAAATGACACCTGCCGGGCTGAACTGGGGCTACCCATATTTGTGCTTTAGCCCCAGTTAGCCCCGGTGTAGCGCCGTCCTTGGTCCGTATATGGCTCCATCAACGTCTAGTACCATACCATATCGATATAAAACTAATATATATCGCACAGCCCTAATTTGATAATAGTTATCAAAAGTATTTAACCTGAACTGACTTTAAATCTCAATCGTCTGTCATAGCTTTCATCTGATATCCAGTGATTATCAATAAATGTGATATTTTGACCTTCCCTACTTTCAAAGTTTGCCATGATGTTGTAAAACGTTTCATATTTGGATGAAATACTTTCACTTAGTCAGATACACATCACCTGTTGGGTCATTGATTATAAATCATGCCCTTTTTGTGTGTGTGTGTGTGTGTGTGTGTGTGTGTGTGTGTGTGTGTGTGTGTGTGTGTGTGTGTGTGTGTGTGTGTGTGTGTGTGTGTGTGTGTGTGTGTGTGTGTGTGTGTATGTGTGTGTGTGTGTATGTGTATGTGTGTGTGTGTGTGTGTCCTCCCTCAGGTGGTGTTCAGTAGATTCTGCAGCCCATGTGACATCAAGGAACTGTTCTGTACAGCCTTGGGTGTGCCAAGGTAAAACTCTCACACACACACACACACTCACACACAGGTGCTGCTATATGTAATGGTGTTCTCATGCAGTAGCCTCTCTGGATCCTCTGCTGTATGAGTTGAAGTTCGGGGGGCATGACTCTTGAGACTCGGGGGCTGAAGTGCTTCAGGAGCACATTGAAAAAGAAACATCTAGGAAAACCATATGAAGTGTTTGCTGGAGCGATGCATGATGACAGAATTGTTAACTCATTTTTACAATAAACAATATATTCAGTTAATGATAATGATCTGCTTTGAAGACACACCTAGCTTCACTGTAGTTTCTGCCAGTCTTCCTGCGATTGAAGATAGACCTTCTGTGAACATGAAGACCTTACACACATATCCCTTTAAAGAGAAAGTGAGTTAGTCTTGTCAAATAAGGAAGTGAATCATCAAAGTGTTGTCATGTCAATCACTTCTTAGCATTATTCAAATAAAAAATGGTTTCATTTAAGGAGCCTGTCCGTTTCATCATGACCTACAAGTTCTAGAGAAACTCAAGGCATCATTGTAACGTGGTTTGAAAAACGATTTGGTAATTGCAGCAGAGACATTATCACTCACACACCCCGGAGGAAGAATTCCTCTTTTTTTGTACATCCTTCTGCAGTGTGCTCAGCGACACAGCATGGATGTTTTGTTGTCTCTAGCAACTAGCAGTGCTAGCAACACTCCCAATAGTATGTCTAAAATGACTCAGGATTACAGAGAGAAAAGGTGTCTCATATTCATGCTGCCTTGGTGTCTTCCTGCAGGAACACAAACCTGTCCCTGATGGATCCCACTGGAGCCCTGGTGTCCATCGACCCCACCATGCCACACAACACAGAGAGGTACACCCTGTCCCTCTGAGCTCTTTGTTGATTCATCGATTGTCTGATAAAACATCTGTTCAGTCCGCCGGCTGGCTGCGAAGTTAAAGACACATTTGCGGATTGGCTGTAAATCCCAGTGTCCCCTGCTCCTCCTACTTTGCTGTTTACATACGCTCCTTCAACTGCCATGATAAGTGAAGTGTACAGTAGGTTTGCAATAGAAGCAACTCAAGTGTCACTTTCCTGAAGCCTTTTAATTCAAGAGTAATCTGTATTCCATATCAGAATAAAAAACAATTATTTGTTTTAAGGTTTTTATTCACCTACGAATAGTGATTATGGAAAGTGACATATCCTCAGCCCATTGAAAATGTCCACTGTAGTGGACATGTTGTTAACATGCATCTCCTTTTACTCTTTTGAGCTACTCTATCAATCCCTGATGTACTGTACAGAGGACATATATCAATCCCTGATGTACTGTACAGAGGATATATATCAATCCCTGATGTACTGTACAGAGGATATATATCAATCCCTGATGTACTGTACAGAGGACATCTATCAATCTCTGATGTACTGTACAGAGGACATCTATCAATCCCTGATGTACTGTACAGAGGACATATATCAATCCCTGATGTACTGTACAGAGGATATATATCAATCCCTGATGTACTGTACAGAGGATATATATCAATCCCTGATGTACTGTACAGAAGACATATATCAATCCCTGATGTACTGTACAGACGACATCTATCAATCCCTGATGTACTGTACAGAGGACATCTATCAATCTCTGATGTACTGTACAGAGGACATCTATCAATCTCTGATGTACTGTACAGAGGACATCTATCAATCCCTGATGTACTGTACAGAGGACATCTATCAATCCCTGATGTACTGTACAGAGGACATCCTGGTCTTTCCAGTGATATGTCATTGGTTAAAATTGCATGCTGGGAAGTTCCTCTTTCTTTTCATCCAAAATGGCTGGCATACCAAAAACAACATTGTATAGAAGCAGGAGGAGAAGTCAAACATTGTTGAATAATTGTCATTTTTACCATGAAAATCATATATGTTCTTGTTTATTAACATGTGAGGAACCATATCATTAGTTCTGAAAGCAATTAAATAATTCAAGTTTTGAAATAACAGCTCTTTTATAAATGTCCATTCTAGTGGACGTCAGGACCATCTTCATGGACTTTATGACTCAATATTGTTGCAGGAGACGGAACTGAAGCAGACATTTTCTGTACCAGATATTAAGGGAGATTCAGATGTTGAGCTCTCAGATGATGAGAGAGATGAGGGTTTCACACCTGGGATAGAAGAGGGTCAAGAAGAAGGGGGGAAAGATGCAGGAGGCTCCATGAGCGCACAGATACAGACAGAGAGACAGATAGGGACGAGCTGGAAAGACATGGCCCTCTGTGGGCCAAGAGTAGCACGTATGTCTTATTGTTGTTTTTATTTGAAGTGGAGCCATGACAAATGAGAATTGCCTCAGGAATGCAAGCTTTGTTTCTATGAGCATGGTCAAATGGAGACCACATTCATAAAACTAGTCAAGATGACCCTACAGCAGAGGTGGGGACTCGAGTCACATGACTTGACTCGAGTCGCATATATTTTAACTTGAGACTTGCTTGACTAACATTGATAAAAGACTTGACTTGACTTTGACTTGGTATTCATGACTTGAGACTTGACTTAAGCTTGAGACGGATGACTTGAAAGGACTTGACTCTTTAAAATTAAATATTTGCGTTTGTTTTTGTAGTGAGATATTACGTTTAGTTTTTTCAAAAAACGTGATTGGGTGATTATAGCGCCATGCGCGCAAACCTGGCAACCCACTAGAAGGCAGGAGTGTCAGTTAACATGGCAGCGGCTAGCGTTACTCCAAAAATAGTGAAGTTTGGATTCAAGGATTATGTTGTCGATGACGCTAATAAGAAGAGAACAGCGGTATGCAGGGTCTGCAGCATAAAGATCAGTGACACGACCACCACAACATCCAACTTCATTCGTCACTACAAAAAAACCCACAGAGAAAGGTGCGTGAATGTGTTGTGTTAGCTAGAAAGCTAACGTTAAGTTTAAGCTACATTAGACTTGGTTTCAAATCGATTAAGCATTACAAAGAGAAGACAAAACGGTAAATGAACACTAGAACCGCCAAGGGATTCATTTGTACTAACCCTGATACTGACGGGCTGTCAGGAGAGGGAGAGAGAGAGAGAGAGGAAAAGAGATGCCTCGTTTATTTCCCCTGTGTTATTATCAGAAGTTACTGTAAACTGTTGAATAATGTAGTTCATCTACTTTTAGTAGTTTGTTTAAATGTTTTAATTATGTTGTTTTTGTTTGTAGAAGTGCATCATTCCTTGATTTATTGTAAAATGAATCTGAACTTTTTGATCTGTTATGATGATAAACTGAAGCAATTTCTAAATTAACCCAATTAAGTGAGTTTTAAATCGTCCTACTTAGTTTATAAGGAAATGATGAAGAGGAACAAATTAAATGATTTGAAAATGATATCTATGTAGGTGCTGACGCTGTTGGCGGTTCTAGTGTTAACAGAAATTTAAATTAAATATGTGTCATGGCAAATGCCATATATGATTTTCTTACCTGGAATTCTGCCTTTTTGAACAGACTTTTTGATTGAGTCCTAGCTATATTGTCTGCAGTTCTAGGGTTAATATGAATCTAATATGATTGTCATCGGTCTAAATTAGATTTCAAATGATTAACTGTGTATGTAATGAAGATCATAGTGTGGGTTGAATCCATTTTCATAACCACTGTCTTTTAACTGATTTAAATGCGGAAACTGGGCTTATTCATCAGAATTTCGTATGACTTGACTTGACTTGACTTGACCTGGGCAATGACTTGACTTGACTTGCTTGACTCTCACCACAGTGACTTGGGACTTGCTTGATACTTGTAGGTCAAGACTTGAGACTTGCTCATGACTTGCACATGTAGGACTTACTCCCACCTCTGCCCTACAGCCCGTGCCGACTGGAGTCATTGAGGTACTTTTCCACTACATTGACTACAAAGTCTTTGAAGATCTGGAAAGATTCACCAAAAACCAAACTAGTTTTTTAGTGACCAAATAAACAGCAATGTTCAGATCAATTACCTATTTATGTTTTAAATAAAGGTGAATGTATTCTTGTATTAATATCATTCTATAACCATAATACGTTACATAGTATATCTGTTAATTTTGGCCGACTTTTCAAACTAAAATGGTCCCAACGTCCTCTACAGTGGACATTCAAAATTAAATTAAATTAAAAAAGTCTCAATTGTAAGATTTTTTAACCCTAAATAGGTAGGAAATCACACAAAAAAAAGGAAATTGGAAGACACTTTTTTTCCTCGGGTCCCAGGAAGATATATTTGTTTCAGGCAGTTCTCCTGCAGAAGTTCAGGTAACCATTAACACCACCCCCACCCATTTGGTCCATCTTTTCCCGTCATTTTCCTGTGGTGGAGGTCTAGATTCTTAAGTCGAAAGAAAGAATCAGATGGCAGAAATACGGTATTAATCCCCCGAGGGAAATTCAGGTTTCACTTCAAATACACACATGAACAAACACTTGCATTGATGGAGGGGTGTCACAGTGAAGGGGCTGTCATGTTTGGGGCTCTGATGCACTTGGGATTTTGGTGCCTTGCCAGTCCACACCACATATGTATTTTATTTTTCTGGTCCATGTGGGGACTTGAACCAGTGACAATCAGGTGACCATCATCAGGTTCCCAAAACCAAGTGCCTGCCCCATGAGATTGTTCCTTCTGATTACTTTCTGTGAGGGATGGGAATAGGACAGTTAATGTCACCAAAATCTAGATCTTTGGCATCAACTAGACACGCCGTGTTTGGAGGAGGAGATGCTGAAGCTTCCAGATGCCAAGCATCAGCCTCAAAACCTGCAGGATTTGGAGAGGATCTTCAGAGAGGAGTGGACCAAAATCCTTCCTGAGATGTGCACAAACCTGGAGACCAGCTACAACAGGGGTACTCAAATACAAATCTTAAAAGTCCAAAAAAATGTTTCAATAAGACAAAGGTCCGTTTATTACGGTCATTCAAACTTTTAAACAATTGCAACAAGATTCTTAACACGAGGTTGCAAAAACAAAAATAATCTGTATGCAGCAGTTTTCATTGTTATTGTGTCTGTGCTTGATCCCTCAGAGTCGCAGTGTAAGAGCTGCACAGTTATGAATAAAGGCAGCTGCACCCTCTTTCATTCAGCATTCCCATTATTGCTTTATAAATGTCTTGCCCCCTTGTGTGTCCACTGAGGTTCGTCAGGCCCAACACATCTTCAACAAACTCCCCCTTTGCCTCATCATAAAAACTCACAAACACCAGCAACTGAGCATTGTCAGTGGTGTCAGTGGACTCATCCACAGCTAAGGAAATGCACTGTGCATTTTTTATTCCATCACAAAGCTGATTCATCAAATCACCAGCCAGTATTTATGTTCTTCTGGTTGCTGTGGAATCTGAGAGGGGGATTTGCTTGATTTGACCTGTTATTTCCTCTTCGTGTTTGCCTTCAAACATGGTCTCCATCACTTCAGTCATGCATTCTTTTATACTTCAGTTATTATCCAGTGGAATGTCCTTACCTACTGGCCTAGTTCAATCAAAGTTGTTACTTTTTTTTGTCTGGGCAGTGTAGTTTTACACACCGTCTTATTTGACTTTCTCAGGACTTAAAACTGTTTTTTGGGGGCAGACCCCCACAAAGAAAACAATATATACACACGTAAGGTCATCATCTTAACAGTTTTGTATGCTCATCCGTGAGCAGAGCATCAAGTTGACATGTCTATTACAGCTGAATGCGGCGATTACCATCTTGTTCAGCAAAACGCCTCACAAACTTATTAAGATCAACAGCTTTAGTGCGTTTTGATTCAATGCTGAGTACAGCCACACTTGACAGTCTCTTCTCTGTCATTGTAGACCGCACCTCATTCCTTCAGTACTTGGGTCCGAATGCTTCTCGTTTTGCGCTGTCCCGTTCAAATGAAATCAGGGCCGGGGGAGGGGTTACAAGACGTGCGTCTTGTGCTGCATTCACTTGCACTTGGACATTAGAGACTTTCTCTCATAAATGTCAGATGAGCCACAACTTTTCTTTCAAAACAAAGCTGCCAACTGGGGTGGCAGCTGGGGTGGCAAGGCCTATTTTTAGGGTGGCAGTTGCCACCCCATGCCACCCCGGTAGGTGAAACTACTAGCTACAGTACAGATGCAACTAGATGAGCTGTTAACTCTGACTTTTTTTTTTTAAACACATACGCCTTTTTCCCACCCGCATTCCGCGAAGACCCGCCCTACTGTGCCTCTGATTCGCAGACTGTTGGTGGGGGGAAAAAACGCTGACGGGATGCTGAATGTGATTGGACCAAAGCGTTGACAGACACACACAGACAGTGTCGTACATGCAGAGCGCTGTATGCAGTGGACATAGCGGAGAATTCTGACTCGTTGCGTTGTGGCGATGTCTCGCAGATAACACAGATAATACAGATAATACAGATGAAAAGTATAATTTGCTCAGAGTCCAGAGACAGTTGTGGTTCGGTCCGGATTCGGACCGGAGTCCGGACTTTGAGGATGCCTGAACTACAAGAAGCGTCTGACCTCTGTGCGTCCAACTAGGGTTTCTCCACCAAGTACTAACACATGTTTAGCAAGGGGATCAAATACTTATTTCCCACAGTTAAATGCAAATACATTTTTATCTTTTATATAATGTCAATTTCTGGATTTTCTTTTTCATATTCTTACTCTCACTGTTAGAATAAACCTACCATTAAAATGATAGACTGTTCATTTCTTTGTAAGTTGGTGAACTTACTGTACAAAATATGCAAGGGATCAAATACTTATTTCCTCCACTGTATATGCTGTTAGTTCCACTTGTTTTTATTGTTAACCTTCAGCAGCTAAGAATAAGACAAAAAATAAGACTTACTTTTATTAATTCCCGGGGAAAATTCAGTTCTTCATTCATATACGTGACACAGGTCGCAATGCACTCATGAACGCATGCAGTAACAGGACCTGTTGCTGGAGAGGTGCCAGATTCAAGAGGCTGACAGTCCCGAGGGAGCAGTTGGGGGTGCAATGCCTTGCTCAAGGGCACCTCGGCAGTGCCCAGTAGTTGAACTGGCACCTATCCAGCTACCAGTCTACACTCTGTGTTTTTTGGCCCAATCAGGACTTTGACCGGAGACCCTTCGGTTCCTTAGTCAAGTCCCTACAGAATGAGCTACCGCCACCTCATTAAGCCCCTAAATATAACCTTAAAACAGTTGCTGCAGCAAGCAGCTGATGCGTGCGTGCATACGTGTGTGCAACAAAATAGGTGATGTATAAACTTGGAAATGGGAAATTAAATTATCCCCACATTGCTCCATCACCATCAAAGTTCTGTCAAAGCACTTTAGGTTGTTGCAGCTAAAACCTACCACACCATAGCATTCAGTAACAAGTGATTGTAAACTGTTTGTATTACATCTATCTTTTAGCACCTAAAGATCATGAATCACCTGACAGCAAGTCATTTTTTAAACACCATCTTAACAAAGTGCACATGTTTCATGGTTTATGGAATTTTCCACAGCTGCTGCTTGGTAATTCTCAATGACCATCAGAGAGGCTACTTTGATCCAAGCCTGACTTTGAGCAGAATGAAAAGGTGGACAGACCAACATTCCCCCCAACACGCTCTCTGAAGCCGTCAGTGAAGTAGAATGGCCTCAGTATTAATGATGAGAACTGCCCAAGGGTTATAGACTCACTCACTCACACACACACACACACACACACACACACACACACACACACACACACACACACACACACACACACAGAGATAAGGGGGGACTTTAATAGTTAAAGGTCCCATGTCATGGCCATTTCCACTGATCATAACTACTAAAATAGATTTATATTGTGCAATTTCCCAAACTCACATTGGTTTCTCATACAGCATCTCTGTATAGTATGTGTATTCACTCTCTGTCCTAAACGGCTTGTTGGAGCTCCTGCCCCCCCCCCTCCCTGTGAGCCCAGTGCTCTGATTGGTCGGGAAGTTGACAGGCTCGTTGCTGCTCGCACACACACAGACACACACACTGCTGGAGGAGCAGACAGGCTTGGCGATACAGCTAGAACAAGCTAAACTCATCCTGAGCACACACAAACACTCACAGCCGAAGTAAAAACAATAAGTGTGGCTTGATATTGAGTAAGAAAAAGGTTTATAACGCTGTGAGCATGGGTCTGCGGAGAGCATTTCAACGTAGTAGTCCGAAAAACGTTTACCCATTTAAACAGTCGTGGTAGATACCTTGTTTGTTTTAAACATAAAAAATACACAAACAACAATGAATACTTACAGGTTGTGTACCCGAATCTCCCGCTGGTCCAAACAAAGTAGGAACAGCATCATTCTTCAGTGCCCTACGCTGTACATATCCGGCATGAATCGCTGAAAGGTTTTGGGAAGCTTTGTTTCATGAAAGGCTGGCAGAGGGTGTGCCCATAGCTCTGGGTGTGGCTACTGGGTATCCCTACGTAGTGATACCCAGGAAGTAAAGATTGGAAAATGAGAAATCTCCAACGAGGCGTTTTGGGGCAGCATAGACTGTGTTAGAGTTTTACTCGCTACAGGGTGTACTTTGAGGGGTTTTGACTCTGCAGACCGTTTACATGCATAACAACCTTCATAACACACAAGGGGACGGGTAATAACCGGAAAAGCATGACATGGGCCCTTTAACACTCTTTATTACATGGTTTAGTTGAATACTCGATTCTGATTGGTCAATTCAGAACACGTGACACGTTGTTAATCCAGAACAGACAGACTGCTGTCAAGGATTTATTGACCGTTGTTAAGGACGCTCACATCTGCACAAACAAGTCAGTTCGATTTAACTGTATACAGTTTGGCCGAAAAGCAAACTGCATGCAGTTTGCTTTTCTAACTGACAAGACAAGAGCGACAAGACAAGAGCACAAGAAAACAGCGGAGAAGTAACTGGCAGAAACCCTCCTTTTTACGCAGCGGTCCAGACATAGACATCAAACGGCAAAACATATTCAGTTGTCAGTTACTTTGGCATTAGGGCAGGGATATCTAGATACTTTCCAAGGTTTGACATAATGAATTGTGCTAATTTTAAAGCAAGCAACCATGTTTTCAAATCTGTAATCAAAAAGCTCCGCCTTCCTGCCGTTGCGTTGCTACGTTTTTTTTTTCAAACGGTAACAACGGACTATTTTTCTTAGCGGATGCATGTCAATTTAAATCAATACATACAACTATTTTTTAAATCAATAAAATCATTTTCAAAATCCATAAAAGCATTTCAATTAATATTGGGAGTCATATCATTACTTTTTTGAGAATGTGGCCATGTAATAAGCGGGATAATGTGCAGCGACTTGGTCATTATGGGGAAAAGAACACCTTCATGCAGATCTAGATCCCTCCGCTTCGCGTCGGGCTCCTGATCAGCCTGTCGGTGTTCTTTCCCCCATAATGACCTGCACATTATCCCTTACTTAATCTCTGTGGTGTGTGTGTGTGTGTGTGTGTGTGTGTGTGTGTGTGTGTGTGTGTGTGTGTGTGTGTGTGTGTGTGTGTGTGTGTGTGTGTGTGTGTGTGTGTGTGTGTGTGTGTGTGTGTGTGTGTGTGTGTGAGCATGTGTGTCTGTTTCCCCCCTTGAATTAGTAAGCAGGAGGAAGAGTACAATGTGTCTGCTGAGAGGACGCATTGTACTCTTCTGCTCTCAAAACTAACCTGTGTGTCCTGGTGTGTTGAAGGTCACCGTACCGGGTGGTACCTTTGACTGGAGGACAACTTGCTGGTGAGTCCCAGAGACTACACACACACACACACACACACACACACACACACACACACACACACACACACACACACACACACACACACACACACACACACACACACACCCACACACACACACACACACACACACACACAGAGATAAGGGGGGACTTTAATAGTTAAAGGTCCCATGTCATGGCCATTTCCACTGATCATAACTACTAGAATAGATTTATATTGTGCAATTTCCCAAACTCACATTGGTTTCTCATACAGCATCTCTGTATAGTATGTGTATTCACTCTCTGTCCTAAACGGCTTGTTGGAGCTCCTGCCCCCCCCCCCCTCCCTGTGAGCCCAGTGCTCTGATTGGTCGGGAAGTTGACAGGCTCGTTGCTGCTCGCACACACACAGACACACACACTGCTGGAGGAGCAGACAGGCTTGGCGATACAGCTAGAACAAGCTAAACTCATCCTGAGCACACACAAACACTCACAGCCGAAGTAAAAACAATAAGTGTGGCTTGATATTGAGTAAGAAAAAGGTTTATAACGCTGTGAGCATGGGTCTGCGGAGAGCATTTCAACGTAGTAGTCCGAAAAACGTTTACCCATTTAAACAGTCGTGGTAGATACCTTGTTTGTTTTAAACATCATAAATACACAAACAACAATGAATACTTGAATGAATGAATACACACACACACACACACACACACACACACACACACACACACACACACACACACACACACACACACACACATAAAACACACACATAAATCACACACACACATAAAACACACACTCAGTTAAAGCCATTAAATGACATAAAATCTATACATTAATGTTCACATACTTCCTTTCAGAGGGGGTGTAACTACTTCATGGCCATAAGCACATTCCCCCAAATGTCAAACTTCTCCTACAGTAATGTGGGTTTCTCCATCAAGCTGTTGATTGCAAAAGTATTTAAATCTCTTTAGCATGCATTTGAACCCCTAACTGCAGCGGTATAAAGGTTTGTTTTTAGTGAGCCTGGGAACAGGAATGTACCTCATCACAATGTTTCCTAAGATCGAAGCTAAAGTCAAAAGGACTGGTCCAGAAACTTTCAAAGGAAACATCTTTCCTATTCCTATTATCTACCTAGCTATAAATGAATAGCTTACACCTTTAAATGTGGCTATAGCTGTTGTTCAGATGTAAACATATTTATCATATACATATCTCAGATATATATCTCTGAAGCTGTGCTCACTCGCAGAGGTTGTGACAGATGTGGAAAAGGCCTTGACATAACAAGCACACGGTTCAGTGTGTTTATTCTCCTCTTCTGTTTCTTTAAAGTGTTAAAAATTAGAAGTTGCCAAATTCCTTTATAAAGTAATAGGTCACTTTAGAAGGCTAAGAAAATGTTTATGATTTTAACATCCACCTCAAATAATGATGAATCCTTCTCTTAGCCAGTAATACTCAGTCCCACTCAAACAGCTGTTATTTCAAACAGCTGCAAACAGAACAACTGCCATGTGATGTGTGAGATCAGTCAGCTGAAGCAGCTTAATTAATCACAGAGAGGAATTCTCAGTCCTCACTGACCTGTGACCTGCTGTGAAACAGGGAATGTGAATGACACAATGTACAAACACACCAACAATAGCTGTTTTCTTTTTACAATTTCTCGTAGCTGTTAGTTTATTGGCTGTGGTGTTGGACTTTGCCCACAACAGTGGAGCTTTTAGCCAATGGCAGGGCTGTGTTAGTGAGTCCAGCCTGTTGCCAGTGAGTGGGAAGAGGGATCAGAAGTGCTTGTTAACACATCAAGCTGTCAGCCATTCTGCAGACGCTCTGCTGCTCACGGTGAGACCAGAGGGACATTTCTCCTTCTCTTCTCACTCTACTGGCTCTGCCATCTGTTGCTCAGGACATCTGATGCCCTCGGATTAGCTTACATCAGCTCTGCATGTATTTATGTCAGTGTGTTCTAGGTGCTATCGTATTTATTATGAAATATTCTGCCTCAGTGGATTCAAGCTGTTTACACTGGACTCCAACAGGCTGTTGACAGTGTGTGTGTGTGTGTGTGTGTGTGTGTGTGTGTGTGTGTGTGTGTGTGGTGTTGTGTGTGTGTGTGTGTGTGTGTGTGTGTGTGTGTGTGTGTGTGTGTGTGTGTGTGTGTGTGTGTGTGTGTGTGTGTGTGTGTGTGTGTGTGTGTGTGTGTGTGTGTGTGTGTGTGTGTGTGTGTGTGTGCTCTCTCCTCAGATAAAGAGGAACTCTTTCAGAATGTACTGACGCAGGTGGCAGAACAGTTCTCAAGGTAAGCAGAATCAAATCTTCACCGTTAACTCATTCATATTGCAGCAAATATTTGAGTTATTACTTATTCATACTTTCTATGTTTTTGTATCAATAACTGTGAACAATTTGTTTAGTTTTATTACTCTCTATCGTGTCTTCCTTTCAGTTTGTTCTAGCGTACTGTTAAGAGAAAACCTCCTTTCGAAGCTTGATGCAAATGTATTTCCTGGTCTCAAGAGACAGAGGACTCTTACAGAGGGTTTGCACCAGCAGCAGCACCGTGTGAACGCCTGTGTGTGTGATCAGTGCTGGGAACCTTTCTGCTTCAGCTCTCCGCTTATGCTTTTTGGATGCTTTTCTTTAAACCTGCATCATAGACAGGAAGTGTTTCTGTGTGATGACATCCTGCGAAGCAGTTGTGCACAGGTCCAACATGAGTCCATTGGGCCGAAGGGAACAGTGCAGCAGCACGTTGGCCTCTGGTTGCTAATTGTGTGTCACAGCCAGAGATCTATTTGCATTCTTGGATTATCAATTAGCAGATATGACAGAAGTTGCCTTATTTATTATGACCTAGTGATTCTTCAGTACTTAGCTGGGATGGCACTGTTAGAGTTGTTCCATGAAGAATGAGAGAGCGACTGTAACGCTTCAGAAATTATTTCCATGAGAAACTGATTATTTGAGATTTCAAAATAAAATTGAGTTTGACAAATGAAGCTGAAATCCTGTTGATTCAGAAATATGTAGATGTTCAGCTGTCTAATGGTTATGCAATATGATGGTCTACAATGGAGCACTACAGGGATATATATATCGATATCTATATCGAAATCTATATCTTATATGATTGATTAAATAAACTTTGATTGAGGTATATATGTTTGTACACAATACACAATAATGTTTATTGTTCAAATGTTTTCTCCCTCCCTCTCCATCTGTCTGCAGGGCATTCAAGATCAACGAGCTGAAGACCGAGGTCACCAACCGTCTGGCCATGCTGGAGAAAAGAGTGGAACGTAAGTCCCCCCCACCCCCTCTCAGGTTTACACCTTTTTCATAACCTGTTTTGCTCACCAACAAATACAAAAATATAAAGGGGCTTATGAATATTTTATTTAATCAATTCTTCCCCATCTTAAAGGGGACCTATCATGCAAAATGCACTTTTGTACGTCTTTTATACATGAATATGTGTCCCCGGTGTTCCAGGGAACTCACTAAGTGTCAGAAAACACAACCCTCTCTATTTTCCTCCATACCCAAATCTCTAAAAAAGGGGCTGCAACGGATCTGATAAAAACTGATCCAGATTTGAAGCAGCGAAGAAGACTTCCCGCCCATAGTTACCATGGTTACCCTTCTGTTTATTCTCCGCTGTGGCTTTTTTTCTCCCTCCCCGAGGCAAGCGTTTGCTCCCGCTGCTTTAATTCAATGCAATCCCTCCCCGTCGAGGCAAGCACTGTAATTCTCTCCGGTTAGTCCACCAGCAGATGACAAACACCCACCTCTCCGCCTCTTCCAAGGAACGAGGGGACCGTGCGGCAGAGTTTCAGTTTCAGTTTCTTTCGCCGGTCAAGATGTCCGTTTAAAGTTTAATCTTCCGGACAAAATTAGAAAAGTGCCGGGTCAAAGGTCTTCTTTGTTATTTATTGAGCTTTAAAACAAATGAATAACGACTCTATAGGCCTATAATAATATAATAAAACACGGAGGACGGAGATCTATTTTTCTCCCCCTCTTGACTTGATCAGAGCACGTCTCCCCTCTCCTGCAGGGGGGCGTGGTCAGCAGAATCAGCCCCGTAGACAGGCAAACAGCACATAGAGCGAAATGAGGCATGGCTAAAATGCATGATCTGTTTGGTATTTTGAAAACAGAAATGTATAAATATACCTTATATAGGTATGGCCCTACAATATATCATTTAAATATAGCATGATAGGTCCACTTTAAATGAACCACCTACCCTGGTGGAGGACATGGTGTGAAAGCTAAAGCTAACAGTGATAATCATTTGTATTTGATCTATGTGCATTTCGTGCAGGGTGGTTGAGATATGCGAGTGACAAAGAAGTACAGTTTTTTCATTTAATTGTTTATTTGAACCGGGACAATGCACATTAATGAACATTTTAAACAAAATAATGCTTTGTTAAATGAGCCGGATTTTAGCTTTGAGCTCATTTCCATCCGTAGTCCCGTCACATACAACATTTATGAACATAACATTTATATACATGGCAAACAGAAATACATGATATGCAGAAAGAGCATGAGCAGCATACAAGCATTTACCACATGGCAGTACAATGTAGCAGCTACGACATATAAAGTGCAGGAGGAGATACAAGAGATACATAAGGTGCAAGAGGAGATACCCCTGTATTAAAGTGCATTTAGCGGTGATTGCACGTCTGTTTGTTTCTTAAAAGGCCCATGTCATGCTTTTCCGGTTATTACCCGTCCCCTTGTGTGTTATGAAGGTTTTTATGCATGTAAACGGTGTGCAGAGTCAAAACCCTCAAAGTACACCCTGTAGCGAGTAAAACTCTAACACAGAAAATACCTCCCCAAAACGCCTCGTTGGAGATACGTCACTGCCCATTTGAGTCTTCCATTTAGTTCCGGGTACGGCATGATGTCATGCCGTATCCGGAACGAAATGGACCAATCCCGAAGAGCTATGGCCACACCCAGCGGCGCTGGCCGCACCCTCTGCCAGCCTAACATTTACTGTTGGAAGCTCTGGTTCAGTTCACAATCGATCCAGTCATGCCAATGCCAAGGACCTGTTTCCTGAAATGTGTGGAGAAATCTGAGCTGTTTGTCCTACCGACGGAAGAACCACGACGAAGTCAGTGGTTGAAATGTCTTTTTAACACTGTTCCTTCAGAGGTTCGAAGAACGTTACTGTGTGCGCGGCATTTCACAGACGAAAGCTTCCAAAACATTGCTTCCAAAACTCACCAAAACTTCCAAAACTCACCAAAACATTGCCCAGTTTGAGGCCGGATATGCACAGCATTTGAAACTGAAGGACGATGCTATTCCTGAACTTCCTGACGGGCAGACCCCAGGCAGTGCGGGTGGGAAATATCACATCCTCCACCCTGATTCTCAACACCGGTGCCCCTCAAGGCTGCGTGCTCAGCCCTCTCCTCTACTCCCTGTTCACCCACGACTGCGTGGCCACACACAGCTCCAACACCATCGTGAAGTTTGCTGATGACACGACCGTCATCGGCCAGATCACAGACGATGACGAGACGGCGTACAGAGAGGAGGTCGAAAACCTGACATCTTGGTGCCAGGAGAACAACCTCAATCTCAACATCAGCAAAACAAAGGAGCTGATTGTGGACTACAGGAAGCAGCAGGGAGAGGGACACGCCCCCATCGCCATCAATGGGACTACGGTGGAGAGAGTCAAAAGCTTCAGGTTCCTTGGGGTCCACATCACTGAGGACCTGACATGGTCTCTTCACACCACCACCATCACCAAGAAAGCTCGACAGCGGCTCTTCTTCCTCCGCAGGTTGAGGAGGTCAAAATGGATTCCAGGATACTCTGCAACTTCTACAGGTGCACGATAGAGAGTATCCTCACTGGCAGCATGACGGCCTGGTACGGCAGCTGCACCGACCTCGATCGTAAGGCTTTACAGAGGGTGGTGAAAACTGCACAGCACATCACCAGGACGGAGCTGCCATCCATGGAGGACCTTTACTCCCAGCGGCTCAGGAAGAAATCACTACGGATTATCAAAGACCCCATCACCCCAGCCACAAACTGTTCTTTCTGTTGCCGTCTGGCAGACGTTACAGCAGCATCCTGGCAAGGACAAGAAGATTCGGAGACAGTTTCTTCCCGCGGGCAGTGAGACTGTTAAAAAATGGAACTGTTGAAACAACTTCAAACATTCAACTGCTACTCAGTAGTATGTATCTAATACCTAATATATATATATATCATTCCAATAACTTGTATATAGACTCATACTGCACTATTCCACATCATAACTTTATTTCATTTTTATAACTATTTTTCTTTTTGTATTGCTCTTGCTCTTATTGTTATTATGTTATGTTATTATGTTGCATTGTTGGAGAAGCCTGTGACATAAGATTTTCAACTGCATAATTACTCTGTAGCTATGTCAGATTGACAATAAAGAACCTTGAACCTTGAACCTTGAACCTATTCCTAGTTTGTTTGGACCGTTTGGAGCAGGGGAAGATTCGGGTACACAACCTGTAAGTTTGGATTGTTATTTGTGTATTTATCAAACAAGATGTAAACATGTTTCGGACTGCTAAGCCATTGACACAGTGCTAACTGTGCTAACTAAGTTGCTAGTGTTTCCATATCAACTCTAATATCAGCAGATGGCCTTACATACATGTATCTCATAGCAGGAGAATGTCTGCATTCACACACGAAATACTCATAGACAGTATACTCCGGGTGATTTGCCGTACGGTCAGTCGCGAAACGTAATTACATTATAGCTGGCGTTCCGAGTGTGTATGCTACCGAGCTAAACAACAAGGCTACTAAGAGCTAGACATGAGTTTGCTCGGAAAAACATTGTTTTTATGCCAGCTACAATGAATGTAGCAGACTACCCATATAAGATTGCAATTGTAAACATGTGCTTAATAGCCTAATATGAACCACTATCTGTTGTTCATAGTATAGTATAGCATATTGAACAACTGAACAACTAGCAAACGTAGATTAGCATTGTAATCCAGCTGGCAAGCTGACGAACATCAAACAACTAAGTTTATTTCACACTTCCAGCAGAGACAACGGGGAAATCCCCTCTCTTTGCCCGCTCACAGACCCCCAAAGGACGGCCTAGAGACCTCCAAGAGGTGTCCCTGAAATGGGGACTCTGTTTATTTCACACTTCCAGCAGAGACAACGGGGAAATCCCCTCTCTAAAAATAACTTACTCTTCTATAACAACAGTTGTAGGTACAGTTCGGTTAGTTAGCGTATAAAATATACGGCTGTACCGACGCCATTATAAGACTGTTGTTCCGCTGAGAGCGAGCCGAAAAAAGCACTGTTAGACATGGGCGGAGCCTCTCTGGTGGTTGACTAATCAGAACAGAGTGGCTGAGCTGACCAATCGGAGCACACTAGGCTCACAGGGAGGGGGGGGCAAGAGCTCCAACGAGTCGTTTAGTGGAGAGAGTGAATACTGCTGAATACACATACTTTACAGAGATGCTGTATGCGAAACCAATGTGAGTTTGGGAAATTGCACAGTATAAATCTATTTTAGTATACCTCAACAATGTAATTATGATCAGTGGAAATGGCCATGACATGGGCCCTTTAACCATTCTTTGAGTTGACCTTTGAAACTATTGAGAGTGGAACAATCCCGTATCTCAGTTGGGAGGCTGTTCCACAAAGAGCTGCCTTTAATGGAAAGTACATTTTGTCCAAAAGTGGTCCGTCTGTGATGGACTTCACAGTCTCCTCTGGTTTCTGACCTAGTGCAGCGTCCAGTGTGTTTTCTGTGGATGAATTCCCCTAAGGGAGGGGGGGCCAGTCCATGTAAACATTTATAAATAAAACACATACTTTTAAAAGACTTAAAATGGTCAAAACTCAAGAAATGGTGTTTCTCAAGGATGGTACAGTGGTGGTATGAATGTGGCTTTCTGTCAAACACCTTGATAGCTCTCTTGTACAGCTGTTCTATTGGTTTCAGGTTTGTGGCACAAGCAAACGACCAGTTTGTAAAACAGTATTCAATGTGGGATAGAATCATACAGTGGAGGTATGACTTTGCAGCATTGACAGTTAAGAATGGTCTAATTTGTTTAACATTTTGCAAGTTGAATTGAATGGTATTTGATACTTTCTTAATATGTTTCTTAAAAGTTAAGTTCGAGTCCAGTATGACTCCTAGATACTTGAAGTGGGAGACTAGTTCTATTTCTGCTCCGTTTAAAAACACATTGGATCCTTCGATTTTGACTGGTCGTTTACTGAACAT